TGCAGCCTACATAAACAGGTAGAATAATAGGTGAAATTTCATACAGAATGAGAGAATTCCAACAGATGGTTATACTGTGTATGTGCGTCGGTGTTGGAATATCACACGCAGATGGATAGGACGTGACCCACAACCAACAGCTGGATGCGAACCAAGCCCATCGATAGATAGTTACATCCCTAGCGCCAGGATCAAGAGGGATTTATGTAAGTTTTTAAACTAAATTAAAACAGTAATTCTTTTTTTGTAATAATATTTAGGATCCGTTTGGATACCATGGTGTTTTACTTGTTTCCATGGTGTTTTTGCTAAAAATAAAATACCATGCGTTTGGAAATCATAGTATTTTTTGAGCTAAACCATCCTCAACCCAAAAACACAATACTTATTTCAAAACACATTTTAGGTGTTTTAAGTTTGATGTTTTGGTTTTAAGTTTGAGAAGTGTTAACATAATATATTAAATTTAATTAATATAGAGTTATTATCAACATGATTATTATATTATACTATACTATACTATATTATAGTTAATTTAAAATATTAATATTTATTAAATAATGTAAAAATGTAATAAATAACATATCTTATATAATAATTTAATAACATATTAAATACCAATATTTAATATGTTAATAATGTATTATATAATAACTAATAATAAAATATAAATAAACTAATAAAAATTTATTGATAATAAATAATAATATAATAATGATATAATAATATACTATACAATAGTATAATCGTTATAATATTATTAACTTTTAATAAATAAATTGTAATAAATTAAAAATTATAAAATATTATATAATAGTAACAATATAATATAATATATTATTATAATATTATAACGATTAAAAACAATTTATTGCTAACAAATGTTAATGTAAAAATAATATATTCATAATATAATAATATTTACTTTTATCATAAATAGTTAAATACTAATATATCATTAAAGTACTATTAATAAACAACATAATAAAAACTATAATATATTATATATTATTAAAAAATTTATAAAATATTAATTTATTAATAACATACTAGTAATAACATAATATTAACATATTACTAATATTATATTATATTAATAATAAAATAACATTGTTATAAAAATATTAATATAATATACAATAATAACAAATTGATATACCAAAATAATTAAATATATAATTATTTGAAAATAATATGTAATAATTATAATATAATAATAATTATAATATATTATAATTCATTAAAGTACAATGTAACATTATAATACATTATACAATATTATATTGCATTACATTTAATACTTATAATACTATAATAATTTAAACTAATTATTATAATATTTTATTTATAATATATTTATTATAATTAATATATAATATACTAATAATATGTTTAATACTAATATTACAATGGATCAAACTAGCGTTGACAAAAAATACTTAACATGATATTTTAAAAACATTTTAAGGGAAAAATACAACATCAATAATATGTTTAATACTAATGTTACAATGGGTCAAACTAGTGTTGACAAAAAATACTTAACATGGTATTTTAAAAACATTTTAAGAAAAAAATACAACATCATGGTGTTTTTTACAAAAACACAAGGTAAACATCATGGTATCCAAACGAAGCCTAAGTTGTGTATATATTGATTATATTATAGATCCATGCTTTTGATGAGATTAAGGCTGATATAAATGAGCATATTAATGAGATTCAGAATCCAACATTGTTAGGGATCTTCAATAGGATCAGACATAGAATAGCAAATGTGTTCCATAAAAATCACGTCAACGAGTTTGAACGACGCGAGGGCAGGTCATGTCAATTTGGTAAGTATACGCACGAAGACGTAGGACTAGTCAAAAGGCGGCGCGTAATGATGAAGTCGGCACTTCTCATAGTGCGACGCGTGATCATCGAGGCTTATCAGCATGGACAGCATGGGAGGGGACGGGGAGGAAGAGTGAAGGGAAGGGGTAAGAGAGGGAGAGGAAGGAGGGGAAGACTTTTAGAATGTATGTGAAATTTACAGTGTAATTATGAATTTCAAGAATATATATTGTTAGATTGTTCAATTTGTTGCTCATGTGGATCGATTTTTGTTTATGTATGTGATTTTCATTTGTATTGTTTTGATTTATGGTTGAATTTTATGTATATTGTTGTAATTCAGTATACATGCGAAAAATTTGATATGGTTGGATTTTCATGTATATTGTTGTGAATGAGACGAAAATTTCATTATATACAACAGATTTTGGATTATGTGAAATTTACAGGCTAATTTGGTGAAACATGCACTCAGTCTGTGTATGTCTGTGCATGACCTGCAACTTCACGGGATTGGAAATCCCGTAAAGTTGTAGGCTCATTTGGCAGAGAGCTCGTGAGCTCTCTGGCAGTTGCACTACAACTTCATGGGAGTTGAAATCCCGTAAAGTTGCGGCCAAACTTCACGTGATTTTAACTCCCGTGAAGTTTGGTGGCTTTTTCTTTAGCCTAGCTAATCATTTATTAAACTTCACAGGATTTAAAATCTCGTAAAGTTTTCGAACTTTATTTACCATTTTCGACCCAGTAATAAATTTCAAATTGATCATTTTTAAAAATAAATTCCTGATAGGGTCTATTTTGAAAATTTGTCCTTTATTTTCTTGAGAAAATTGTGTCTACACTGCAAAATCAGAAATTTCATGTCACCCAACCCCTTCACTTTTGGTCCATGTCTTGGGCCCTTTATTGTAATTTTTATGTGAACTTTTCAGCTGCCACGTCAGGAGAGAGTACTCTTTTTTATTCCCAAATTGCCATCACCCTCAACCTCTCCTCTCTCTCTCTCTCTCTCTCTCTCTCTCTCTCTCTCTCTCTCTCTTTTCTCATTAACCCATGAACAATTTTTCCTCCTCATCCATGATCTCTCCCCCCACCAGCTTCACCATTACATCCTCCTCTTTCTTTCTCAACCTTGTATTTTTTTCCCTTCTTTTTTTTCTTTTTTCCCCACCACAGCCTCTCTTTGTCATTTCCCCTCTTTCCTCAACCATCTCTCCTCCTCTCATAACCATTGCCTCATCACTAAAAGACCATCTTCTTTAGCTAAAACGGACATCTCCTAAAGTCAAGCCGAAATAAACACTTCACAATAAAAGTTTTCTAAGTTTTAACGGATAGACATTAACGGTTGACTTAGGTGTTAAGTTTAGCAAATAAACGTTAACTATAGGACTTGGGTGTTAAGTTTATCATATAGATTTTAACTATATGACTTAGCTGTCAAGTTTAACAGGTAGATGTTAACTATAGGTCATGGGTGTTAAGTTTATCACATAAATGATCACTATATAACTTAGCTATTAAGTTTAACAAATATATGTTAATTATATGAATTAGCTATTAAGTTTAACATATTGGCATTAACTATATGAGTTAGCACTTACCAGCATCTACTCCTTAAGGCAATCACATAGCTTGGATCATTAACATGTAAAACTAAGTTTATAATTGAAAGCTATTATGTAACCTTAACACCTATCGTCAAATATTCATAACTATCGTATAACATTAATATCAGTCCTCTAAGATTAACATCTATCATCTATGATCAACATATGCATTTTAAAATTAATATTTCAAAATGCTTTAAAAGCGCAGATGTCAACTTCAATTGTTAAGTATTAACTTCGGCATAACTTTATGACATGATTGTTTTAGCCAAAGGAGGCAGACTTTGAGAGATATGGCGGTAGTTGAGGAAGGGCAAGGGGGAGAGAGGATGGTGGAAGTGGAACGGAAGAGGAGGGAGGGAAGGGGAAATGGTGATGAAGTGGAAAAGATAGGAGGAGAAAGGAAAGTGAGCGAAGGAGGAAGGAAGGGGCAGAGAAAGATGGATAAGGATGGAGGATGGAGGAGAATGAAATTGGACAAAGGGAAGAGGAGGAGGGCGGAAAAGGAGAAGGGAGGAGGGTGGAGGTGAGACAACAAGAGAGGAATTTGGGTGGAGAAAAAGAGAGTATAGGAGGATGAGAGGAGGAGGAGGATGAATTGTATTTTAGGGATGGAAGAAAAATATGGGTTGAGGAAGGATTTATCGCATGAAAAAATGGATTTTGAGGCTAAAGCACATAGGCCAAACGTGAAGGGGCTTGGTCACATGAGATCTCTTTTGGGGCCTGGACACAATTTTTACCTTTTTTTTTTTTGTTTAAACTTTTATAGCTCGTTGTGTATACAAGACAAAGCAATCAAGAATTTATACACATCAACAGATTTTACATACCAAAAAGGACTGGAACTTAAAGCAAATCTAATTTGGGCGGAAGCCAGGGAAAATCCTCCCCCATGTCCACCCCTCAAATCCAAAACAAAAGAAAAACTGCCTTCCATGTACTATGTCTCCATGAAGAGAAAGCATTACATGCTTAAACTTGTACTTTTAAAAACTCAAGAAATAAATGGCTACTATGCAAAAGTCATTCCATTTGCAAAAACTATAAAAACAAGAACTGAATTCAACCATCTGGGAGTCCACACTATTCAGGAGTCCTTACATTGGTATGAGCTATAACAACGAGCATTCAATTTAACAATCAGCAGAGCATGTGCACCAGTCTATATCCCATGCATTAGATAAACACGAGTTAAATCCCATGCATTAGCTAAACATGTGTAGTAAACACAATAATCTAGCAATGTTAAGTACCATGCTAGCAAAAACTATAAAAACAAGAATTGAATTCAACCATCTGGGAGTACACACTATTCAATAGTCCTTACATTGGTATGAGCTATAACAACAAGCATTCAATTCAACAATCAGAAGAGCATGTGCTCCGGTCTAAATCCCATGCATTAGATAAACACAAGTTAAATCCCATGCATTAGATAAACATGAGTAGTAAACACAATAATCTAGCAATGTTAAGTACCATGCTAGAAATAGTGCATGCTACATAGAGATAAAAAGGATAAAATGACGAGGCAATCTTAAATACCTTGCTTTCTTCATTTCATCGGTTACCGCTTTGCACGCATATTTCCACCAGGATTTTGGATCCAATTTCACAGAAACAGGTGGTCGGTAATGAGCATATTTCAAACGTTGGTTAAATGCTGCAAAGTTATCAGCCAGTTTCAACATGTCCCTGTATCCTTCCTACATCCATGACCTGACTATTAGTTGTGGAACATTATCTATTTGCACCAGTGACCTGGAAAGTTGATGCAACATGAGGATTTACCTTCGATAAACATAATGTGACATCATCCAAATTAACGGATGCCTGTTGTAATGCTTGCCTAGTACTCTTCGATTCGTCCAATCGCAGCTTTGTGTACTTTGCATTACCAGTCACTGGCTGGAGAATGTAATTATGATCCACGGAACGAATATCTAACCTACCATCCTCGTTTTCAAGTTCAAATATCTAGAGAAGATTAAAATCCATATAGATCATGAGCAAGTTTAAAAGCAAGAAAAAGCGTGGGTCTGTTAAAAGCAATAGTAGTACCTCATTCCACTCTGAAGGGCGCAAATCCTCCCATGGTTTCTCAACACTCCATGGTCGGACATCAGAATCAAAATAAACAGAAAGGCGATCGAGCTCCACAGACTGCATAAAAGTATAAGATGAGAAGAGTTAAACATATTAACCTGACGGTAATTTAACCACAAAAGCCACAGAGAGTAGACAAATATCATGTTAGTAATGATATCAGAAGCAAAAAACATATAATTCTTTTGAAAAGAGTCTACCAAATAGAAGGTAAAAGCCAATTTCAGGCGCATGACATTTGCCCTGATAATGATAGTTGGAAAACGTCAAAGTTTACCAGCAAATATAGATGAGGTACCTTACCTTCTGAATGCGCTCTAGAGCGCCTCCAGTAGCAAAAGTTTCCTTCCCAGAATCATCAACAGTCACTGCTGAAAGCCTATCAAGCGTCAAGCCCGCTGCAAATGGGTGCCCAGGATTGCTATAGCAAAGAAATTATAAGACCTCTGAAGGATCCCAAGGCCAAAATGAATTTAGGAGGATGCTTACCTTTCAATATCCTCATATCTAATGTGGATATTGGTAATGGAAAGCTTGATATTCCCAATAATAGTGCTGATCAGCGATCCCAGCCATGACGTATTCTTTAACAGCAAAAATGCGGCATCCCATGCAGACACATTGTAAGGTCAGATACAAAGAGACATCAATTATGATGTAGAAATGGCATGTTTCTTTTGAAACAATAATATAAAACGTTACACAAAAATTATAGTATTAATAAATTTGAAGAAACCAACTAAGGAAACTAAAATAAAAAAGGCTTCAAAAACTACCAGCATCACACAAGCGAGCTCTGAAGAAAGTTGTGAATAGAGATAGTGGTTACATTGCCAGTGGCAGGAGCCAGAAGTTTTGGCAAGGGGGTCCAAAAGATTAATAAACATGACGACATATAATACTTTTTACAATTAATTAATTCGTATCTAAATCTCATTATATTACAATATTTTCAAAATCAGGTTTCAGATTAGTGCCAACTTCACTAACTTGTACACCGAAGTATATAAAGCGTCCATCCTCCATTCAACCAACTACTAAGCAAGTTTATTGATCCCTCAAATTTTCAGAAAAATTGCCATGAGAGACCAAAGACTACTTATCTAAAATAAATTTGTAGCGATGTCATTATATAAATCTTAAAGTAATTGACACGTATTAGAGTCAATGTTTTAAATATCGGACATCGGGGAAATTTCGGATGGCAAAAATTCATATCAGATTGTGGATATCAAGGCAAATATTAAGGATATGTGGTAAACATCAGAATGCCATAATAGATGTTCGCATTTATAGTATAATGCACTAAAATCTAGTTAATAAAATCTAAGCATACAAAAAAGTAATAATATATAGTTAGGATCACTAGTTAACATTGTAAAACATATAAAAGTACAAATCAAATGTCGCAACATTTCGTCTGATTTTTTTAGACCCAAATGTCATTTGATATAATGGGATAATCGTGATATCTCGCCTAAAAATTGCCAAACGCGATATATTGTTTTGTGACAAGCCATATAAAAGGATAATATCGGCCAACATATCGGCCATATTGGGAATATGTCATCCAAAATAGCCAAAATAATGTTAAAGGATATATAATGTTAAAGGATACATAGAGACCATATCGGTTGCGGCAAGCACTGTAAAAGGATATACCGGGTTATGTCGGGGATATTTAAAACAATGATTAGAGTACCACATTACATAATCAAACATTTCTAAGATGCCTTCTTACCATCCAAAATTATCTAAGATGATCAATGGCGAACATTGTGTATTTATGTTCAAAAGTATAGTGATATTTAGTATGTTTTCTAGCTTTACGCACTGTTAGCTTCTTTTACTTACATAATAGCGTGTGCTTTGATATATGTACAATAATATGTGCTAACCAAAATGACTTTGTAGTTATATAAATTGGTTAAAAGTACTTTGATATGTGCACAATAATATGTGCTAACCAAAATGACTTGTAGTTATATAAATTGATTAAAACTATGAGATCTCTATAGCTCTTGGTTTCAATTTCTCCCCCTACACTATTATACATATGTAGTGTAATAAAAAAATTTGGGGAGGGGGGAAGGCAAGGCCACTTTGTCTCTTACATGCCTCCACCCGTGCACATCACCCTAAACAGTAAGGTGGATTACAAAATTAGGAATTAACCAGCAGCATGTGTATATAGGAAAAAAATTAGTAGCTGAAGGGAAAGCTTTGACCCAAATACTTGCTCATAATAAACACAAAGGGCAAAGAATTGATAGTCCAGTCCCATTGAAAGACACAAAAGGCAAATAAATCTAGCCAGTTAATAATATTTCCACTTGTTCCCTTCTTTATACAAGAACTAAAGATGTTCCTTACATAAGTGTTTGTATGTTGCATGTACCTGATATATGTAGCAGATATACATGAAACACATAGCTACTCTTCTGCAAAAGCAAACACTAAGTATGCATCAAGGTAAACTTATGCATGCCTATGCATGTGTCATGTGTATAAAAATGTTCGTAAGGGGAGTCTTTTTTTTTATTCTACGAGTATGTAGATGCAAGCAAGCACAAGGATATTACCACAGGTTTGCCTACTATGGCCCATTAAAAAACTATTGGGAACAATGATCCGCTCCAATCATCAAAAACTTTTATCCACTGAAGTGTATCTTCATAAAAGATATGGGGTTGGAAAAAATTTACCCATGTTTCAAATGGCTGTGAAATTGGCATTTATATCTATACTACCCTTATAAAGTAATACCCTAGTTGCCACGTGGCATCTTCATAGAATTGCCATTAGGCATCTTATTAAAGTATGGAATGTTAGGTTATGGTTGCAGTGTTGCACAATTCTATTTATAATATGTAGCGTATAAAAATAAATTTACACAAAACCATGGTCCATAACCCCCAATTACATACATCATGCATACCCCTCAAATAAATTCACTCATGAGTTAGTGCTCTTATAACCCTTATTAACACATTAATCCACGTTCAAATCCATCCTAAGTTCCCAACTCGTAACCACTTTCTCTACTAACGCACTAATAAAATTCATGGTTATCATCTTCACAACATCAAAATATATGACGAAGCTCCTGGAAGATGTGTCCTGCTAGCCCTTGGTTTGACTATATATGTTTTTATACTTTATTGTTAAAGAAAACAATAGGAGGCATGGGCCTATAGATTACCACCAAAAAAGAAATGCTATAACCATTTTATTTTTTGTTTATCAAGATATCTTCTTTAGAAAGTTAGACACGCTGCATGGAATTCGCTTATATTAGTCTTTCATCTTGTCAATCCATAAAATTGTTAAATAAATTTTTTTCAAAGCTTGAAACAAAAAGGATTATGCTTGACATTATATAAGAGAGGCAACAAAAAAAAAGGTTGGAGACTTAATATTGACCTTCAAGAATAAGCCATGTACTATGCAGCAGAATGGATTTATTGTCTGGTTTAATCTGTCTATGTTTCCACTTTTCACAACAAACTTTCTTATGTTTACATATTTAACTTAAATATAATGTCATGGATGGCTAGCATGTTTCATCATAGTTTTTTTTAGCTAGGTCTGCTACAAAAATTTCTCAGATTTGTCAGGGACCTCAGCCTAGGACAAAATAAAAAATTTGATCTTTTTTTTTATTTGGTGCTTGTTGTTTATTTTTATAAACTCAGGCATCACACAAGAAAATACTAGTTTCATCAACAAATGAAACCACCTAATTCGTGGACAAAAAGTATGCCTACTTTAATTCGTATACTTTTTAAGGTATAAACAATGTGCAATGAACAACACTAAGTGCACCAATAAAAATTGCAATAAGATTACAAATTTACAATCAAAATGATAAGTCTATAAAATAGTCCTAAAAGAACCTTGGGTTGAAGTAATTAGAAAGGATATGTCAGCAGATAAATAATGAGATAACCTTTAATATGACTAAAGGAATAAAAGAGTTCAAATATCTGACCAAAAATTTTTGGAATAAGGTTTTCTTTTGTTGTTTCACTAAAGAGCTAATCAACACCAATACAAAATGTACCAAGTTTTACTAATTTCTAAAACCGCAAATGAACATATATAGTCATCCAAACATGCATGTTCATGATGCAAATATTTAGTTTTTAGAATTGAGATTTTGGTGGCATAATATTTACATCGTAATGAACACCCGCATTCTCAAAGCTCAAGCCATGGTCCTTTCCAAATATCAATACTCCCAACCACATGGAAAATACCCAACACACACAAGCCCGTCCGCCTGCCCACATGCACATGTTGGTATATGGAACTACATCCTCCAAAGTTGTTTTCCAGTTACTTCAGATCCATGACCCAGCATATTTCCCAACTTCTTAAGCCAGAAATTTAGAACCTATAAATTTGACACGAGTAGCCTCTCAATTGTTAAAGCAATTTTGTTCTCAAAATATGTTCTTAATGAGTTACATTAAGCAGTTTTGCCCTGTCCTTCCCATCCTTTCATCACTGAGACTTTTAAAAGTACAAACCAGACAATTTTGCCCTTCCCATCCTTTCATCACTAAAATCTTTGAGTACAAACCGAACTTCATGTTAGGTTTTGAATACATGGGTCTGTGACTCTGTATCCTATATGCAGTTAATTAGTAGCACAAACCACAACAACGTTATTGTTTGTTGAACAATAGATCTATTCTCACAATTTTGCAACTTCAATCAATCTGCGTAGAGCCCCTTAGATATTCAACAGATGCTTCCACTAGGTTCAACTAAAATAAACATTGCCACACTCATTGTTTATCATACAGTCCTTTGAAAGCACCTGAATTTGTGTTCAGAGTTTTTTTTTATTTTTGAATAGTATTTCTAGGATAGTATTTACTCTTGAAGGACAAATTTTCAAAATCAACCAATTTCGAAAATTAAATAGCAAAACCGACCTCTTTAAAATTTAAATAGCAAAACCGACCCTTTTCTTTTGAAAATGGTCGGTTTTGCTGCTGAATAATTTTTAGGACATACACGGGACTGCTGGTCCCATGTATTTCGTGGCAGTTTCGATTAACACGGGACTAGCAGTCCCGTGCGATCGGTGGTAAAAAAAGACCCGACTTCATCTTTGACCGCACTCCTTTTCACCCAAACCCATTCACCCCTCCTCTTTCACCCGCTCCTCAAACCCAGCGGCTTCCTCCACTGCCGCCGCCGACCAAGCGCCCTCCGACCACCGCCGCCGCCGACCAAGCGCCCTCCGACCACCGCCTCCGCCGGCCAAGTTTGCTCCGACCACCGCCGGCCAAGTTTGCTCCGACAAGGTAAATGTGGTTTTTTTTTAAATTTTGATTAGCCATGAAATTTCGGATTTGGGAATGGATTTGGGTTGGGATTTGGGAATTATGGTTGAGATTTGGGAATGGATTTAGTTGAGATTTGGGATTAAGGTTGAAATTTGGGAATGTATTTGAGATTAGGGTTTAGACATGATTAGGGTTTAGACATGAATAATGTGATTTGAGATTAGGGTTTAACCATAATTAGGGTTTAGACATGAATAATGTGATTTGAGATTAGGGTTTAACCATAATTAGGGTTTAGACATGAATAATGTGATTTGGGATTAGGGAATTTAGCAATTATTTGCTTTGTAGTTGAGATTAGGGTTTTAAATTTGACTTTAAATTAAGATTAATATTTACAGTTATAATAGATTATTTACATATGATGGACTGTTGATTTTCAGCTTCGATGGCAAACTCTATACCCATTATTTGCTTCTTCAATGGGAGCCTCGGCGTCGGATTGAATAGTATGCCGATGTATGAGGGAGGTTCTAGGAAAATATTTATGTTATCCAAGTCATTAAATTTTGATGGAATGATGAATGAAATACACAGAGTTACGAAAATTAATAAAGCATGTTATGCAATTAAAGTGTTCTTCAATTATCCGGTAAATGAGAGTAGAACTATTGCTGTGGCGATTACCGACGATGAGGAATTGAATGACATGAAACAATTAGTGGAGAAGCAAGCGTCAATTGAACGACTAATTCCACCTCAATACAAGAGACAAGCAGGTCGACCACGATCTGTACGAATTAGGGGAACCATGGATCAAGGACGAGAAGGAATTGTCAAGCATAAAAAATGTAGTCTTTGCAAACAACCGGGACATACTCGACCTCGTTGTCCAGCTAGACTCAATAGATAGCAATTAATTGGTAATAATTGACATATTCAAATTGTGATTTATTTTAATGTAGACAATATAATTAGTCGTGGATCGGTTATTGATATGTTATAATTGTATGTGCAGGTATATACACCATGGAGCCTGGACCGACGAGTGATGAGGTCCTATATGACCAGCCTCGACACCGTTCACATGTTATATCCTTTACAGAGGTAACTAAGTTTCGTATAATTTCAATATTGTATTCTTATAATATTGTATTCTTATATATTCATTTGCTTTACAGAGAGGCCCGGATATTGTTATGGTTGATCATAGCCTCAGCCATAGCCATTGGCATCTAGAGGATGAGCGCATAATAGCAGCTGTAGGACGGGCCGGCTTCTTGACATGTTCAAAGCTTCGTTGGATGAGGCTCGATTGGCCCTTACTCACCGCTTTGATAGATAGGTGGAGGCCGGAGACCAACACTTTCCAGTTCCGAATGGGAGAGTATACTATTACGCTACAGGATGTAGCTATGATACTTGGTCTCCACATAGATGGTCCGTGCGTTACCGGCAGTGATAGACATTTTTGGCCGACAAAATGTGAGGAGTTGTTAGGTGTAGCTCCAGAGTCAATGCCTGGAGGAAATATTAAATTGAAGTGGCTAAAAGTGTTAGGTGTAGCTCCAGAGTCAATGCCTGGAGGAAATATTAAATTGAAGTGGCTAAAAGATACCTTCTCGGTGCCGTTGCCTTTTGATGCGCCGCCAATATTGATTGAGCAACATGCACGTGCATACATTATGCACATGATCGGTTCAATATTATTTCCAGATTCGAGTAAAGATAAAGTGCATGCCAGGTATCATTTTTATCAGTATTTACAATTATGTCTGTTGATTTAGCTTATTTTGATAACTTGAAATGTTATGAAAATGCTAGGTGGTTACCACTTGATAACTTGAAATGTTATGAAAATGCTAGGTGGTTACCACTTATCGGGGACTTGGACACGTGTGGTGCGGTTTTGACGTACCTATATAGAGAGATATCTAAGGTTGCATTGATGAAAAATAATGACCTCAAAGGGTGTCTCAGCTTACTGCAAGTATGGGCATAGGAGAGGCTGCATTTGAAGCCGAGACTATGCGTGAATTTACAATTAGACGGACAAATTCCACTAGGATGCAGGTATTATATTTTTTAACGTAGTAAATATAATTGTAGTTATTCATTTGGTACTGAATTTTAAAACTAACACAGATGGAATGTCCAAAAATGTTTTGACGAGACCCCGACGAGACAGTTAGATTTCTACCGAAATGAGCTTGACCGCATGAAGATTTTTCAGGTATCATTTCTATAAAAACGAGTTTTTTCTTCTATATATCAACTTTCGTTTTAATGATATGCAACAATTATATGTAATACTCTGTAGATGGAATGGGAGCCCTACACCCCATTTCTCGATCATCTACCCCCGATATGCACAGAATACCCAGTTATATGGAGAGCCAGAGTTCCTCTAATATGTTTCGAGATAGTAGAAATGCATGTACCGGATCGCGTGCTTCGACAATTTGGTCTTGCACAACATGTTCCGCAAATTGTTGAAAAAATAGAGAGGAAGGCGAAGAAAGGAGGCCATCAAAAGGACTGGGCAGCTGAGCATCAAAATTATATATACAGATGGAATGATAGACATTTTTGTATTGTTGAGCAAATCGAGCCAACTCCCCAGGAATCAGATTACTACACTTGGTATTGGAGGATAACTAGAAGATGGATACTCCATGCGACCACATCCCCGGTTGAGTTGCAAAGAGGATATGTGCCTCGGGGTATAGATGAGAGAATTAGTAAGTATTTTCAAATTTATTCATTTTTATTAGTATTTTTCAGTATTGCTAAATTATGTTTTTTTTTTAATTTGCAGGTATCAGCAATAGATGATGTTCAAACCATTGCAAATCGTGGCCTGGAATTGGCTCGAGCAGGTAATATAGAATTAAATATAAAATTTACATATTATAATTTGAATTTTATAGTAATTTTTGTATTTCAGATTTTTTTGAATTATCTCTCGCAGGTACATATCCCGAAGCACAGAAACATGCATTAATATATCAGTCGATAATGCAGAGGCTTCACCAAGCCTTACATCGAACTCATGAAGACCTTCATGATGGACGAGAGGTAGCGCAATTAGTATACACACGTCAACCACGACAAAGACGAGGACGACGCAGAAACGACAATGAAGCTGGGCCTTCCCAACGTGTTGACGACGGAGCTGGACCGTCACAACCACAAACGCAACCGGATCATGAACTCATCGAAGGTCGGGATAGAGGAGGCCGAAGACAAAGGAGGAGGAGAAGAGTTCTTGGATGTATGTAAGCTAATCGATATATGTGTTTATGCAATGGTGTAATTTATGATTGTTGCATTTGAAATGAGTTTGTACGGGGAATTTTCCCGCAGCAGAAATACATATTTCTGCACATTATGTGCAGGAAATACACAGGACTGCTAGTCCCGTGTATTTCATTGTGCCCAGGAAGTGCACGGGACTAGCAGTCCCGTGCACTTGGTTCGTTGCTCTCTGTAAAATGCACGGGACTGCTAGTCCCGTGCATTTCATTGTGCCCTTGGTTCGTTGCTCTTTGTAAAATGCACGGGACTGCTAGTCCCGTGCATTTCATTGTGTATTTTGAAATACACGGGACTAGCAGCCCCGTGTATGTCGTAAAAAACTTCTTGCAGCAAAACCGATCCTTTTCAAAAGAAAAGGGTCGGTTTTGCTGAATAAAATGAGATAAGGTCGATTTTGCTATTTAAAATGCTAAAAAGGTTGATTTTGAAAATTTGTCCTACTCTTGAATCATATAGCCCTTTCATCACCGTTATTTATCGGCTTCAAATTTCATGTTTGATTCATGATCCTTAGGGTCATTTTGAAATTAATCTGGTTTAGTTTTGATCCAATTACACTTAGCGTAGGTTAGACTAAGTTTCTATGTGAACTAGTTTTGAGCTGAACTTAGTTTGACTAATTTTTAAACAAAACTGGTATAAAGCTAAATCTTGTTTGATAAATACACATATATATATATATAAAGACATGATTTCAATTTGATAATTAAAAATATTTTCCTATGTCAATTTGATAATCACAATACATTTTTCCCTTACCCCTAACTTTTTTGGGCCAAACTTATCTGGTTCTATTTCAAACCTGGGGAGCCTTGCTTTTTTTTAGTCCGATTTTGAAGCAAAATTAGGCCAGACAAGAACTGGTTTAGCCCAACTGCTTTATTTGCCAAACTAGGACTAAGTTATTGGACTAGACTTATTCTAGCTAAAACCTGTTTCAGCACTTTGTCAAACAACCCCTTCAATTCAGCATATAATTTCAAGATATGCTAGAATTCCTCAGTGAACACATAGTTCATAGCCATTTATTCAAAGCATCACATAATTTAGTGCAAAAAAATGGTGAAAGGGCCATGTATAGGGAGGAGGGTAACTCCAGCCCTTTAGACAGCTTAAAATGCTTTTAGTTTTATCCAGTATTCTCATTTAAAGCAAGCACATTATGCTCTTTCCTAGAGCACAAGTCTAAGAAACTATGCTGGTGATGAACTGTGAAACTTCAGTATTTGTTGTCATATTATCATCGCAACCTACAGACCACATAACACTATATACGTTGATTTTTCGGAGCTTTATTTGCTCTAAATTAATCAGGAGAAGCAATAAAAGTATAAAATAGATGGTCATTGACCATTTTCTTAAATTGAAAAGAGCAGTATCACAGACAGGAGTTCCAACATACCATTTCCAGCTTCAATTGTTGCTGACATTCTAAAAGCCTCTTTTCTAATTCCTGGCATAAGAACAGGCCATAAATTGAATGTTAATGACAAAGACAAAAAAGAGACATAAAAGACAAAAAGTCAATACTTTGATGCCTTACCTGTACTCTAATTTTCTTAGCTTCTTGTATAGTATCTTCACTACTCCCCTCAACTCGTGTTGCAGGCTCAACTAAAACCAAAATGCGGTCTAGATAAACTAAAACCGGTTCTTGGCCTAACCTGCTCCATGGAACCTGATAAAGTAGAATCACCCTTAATGAGTTTTTTAACCAATTTACAGCTCAGACATAAGATATAATATTACAAAACTCATACTGAAAGAAAAGTTCATATTGGGAACCTTAAGCCTCACTGATCCAAGAAACCCGGCTTTAACCTTCACCGGTAACTTTAGAGCATTAAGTGCCTCCGGTCTCAACTGCATGTTAGTTAGTTCCACATCACCTACAGCAATATTTCACACAGAACAACATTATATTTGAAGTTAGATGCATATCCATTAATGACTAAATATTGATCACGACATTGTATGTACAGAAGAATAAAAATAATTTGCAGAATACCAGACATATTTGAATGTTCCATTTAACCTTCCTAATACCAGAATCTTCCCCAAAAAAACAAAAAAAAACTCTGATTGTGAAACTATCCTGATTTATTTCAATCCCTTGTAAAAATCTAACCAATCTTGTTTCAAGAGCTCATGATGATGATAAGAAGCCTGAAGTTAATGCAACTCTTAATCTCATTCACACTTCAGCCTAACCCAACAACATTGGAGTGAATGACAATATAAGAAGCCTGAAAATTAATGCAACTCTTAACCTCATTCATAACTTAGATTAGCCCAACCACTAGTAGTTTTCTTTACAAAATGGAGATACCAAATTAATAAATAAGTGAGAAAGAGACAAAAAGAGAGAGAATGGTCACAATAACATGAAAAAAGATCATTAAAGCAACCAATGCCTGATATGGCCTCCATCTAACACAGAGAATACTTGAACGCTCGCAAAATCTATGGTTCCTGGCATATAGCAAATCCCACTAACAAATGCAAGTCACCTTTCTAAGCTATGTTATGGACACCAAACACTGCAAGACGTGACAAATTCTAAGAAAACACACATGATATGCATGTGTGACATGTTTTATCAAATCTAAACAAAAATAGAAGATGCAAGTTAAGAACAGATATGATAAGGTCATTTAGTTTTCTCTATAAATTAGATTGTATCTGTTATTTGAAGATAGACCTTGATAATTGAAGACTTAAAGTAATGAGTTCTGAGTTCTGAGTTCTGAGAAACCTCATTAAGCATGTTAATTGCTTGTGTTCTTAGCATGTGACTTGCTAAAACTAGGCATGTGATTTACCTAGGAGTGTGAAGCCCAAAAGTTGTCTGTAATTTTACCTTTGTTCTTTGCTTTCCTAGACAGATCAATTTCGACCACAAATTTCAACCCTCAAATCAATTCTAATCATGCATTTTTAATAATCAACTAAAAATCCTAAATTTTCTAGCAAACCCAAGTCCAGCCTAATTTTCAACCCAACCCCCAAACAAACAATAAATCCCAACTTCGCAGAGCTGCTTCCTCCGATCCATCTATCGTTTCTCCTATTCATTATCGTCAACACCATTTGCAAAGTTTGTTGCACTGCCTCCAATATCAGCAAGCATGCCGCCTCTATCCAATGTCTGCAAAGATACGGCAAGCTTCTCCAA